CATTTTTCGAGAAACTTTTTGAAGAAGTGTCACTTAAGGGCTTGCTTTGGAAGAGACTCCATTGATCAGAAAGTTGGTTCATTCATAACAGTTTGAAAAACTTAAACGTCATTTTTCCAAGAAGTATGGTTTAGGTGCCACTTAAGGGTTTCCTTTGAGATGAATAGGAGGAAGTTGATGGCTCCTAGAGGATCAGTAGTGTAGTTCCCCCACGTACCTCACTAGAAACTATCGAGGTCCCCCTGCCACAACCATCTTCTCAGAACGTCGCAACAACTTGTCGTCTTATCCCGCAATCTTACACATCCTCTAATTCCGGCGCGTGATAAGAGCGCGGTGTGGTAAAGCGGCTGTCGAAAAAACGGCAGCGAGGAGCAGTGGGAAGGCGGCGGCCTGGGGATCACGAGGTCATAGGTTCGGTTCCCATGCAAACTTTTTGCAGTTTTATTACTTTTTTGCAGTTTTTTATTACTTTTTTGCAGTTTTTATTACTTTTTTGCAGTTTTTATTACTTTTTTGCAGTTTTTTCCTTTTATTCCAGGTTTTGAGGCGTATAAACATGAAAACGTTTTGAACCTATTCGAAAAACTCCATCTTTTCACTTTTTCGTGATTTTCCATGCGTTGGAAGCATGCGTTCCCCAGAGCTTCTTCACATCACTGATTATCACTAATTATCACTGGTTATCAATATTTATCAGTAAATATCACTTTTTATCAGTAATCATCCCCCGTTTATCTTTCCATTATCACCAATTATCACTTTTATCAGTAATTATAACCGATTTTTCACCAAATTTTTCCCTGTGAAAAAAACAGACATTTCAGAAAAAAATTTTTATATTTTATAAACAATGGGCATTTCATCGGTAATTTTGGAATCGATTAGCCGAGGTCCTATCCTGATATCTGTGGACTGGCTCGAGTGACATATCCGTCCTTGTGTGTGACGGCTGGGGATTTTGAAGTCGTGGTTTCCCACTACCAACATTTCTTAAACCTCTTGGTTGGGTCGGGGCGGGGATCGAACTTGTGACCCTGTGGAACGTACACAGGCACACAACCTGTTGCGCTACGGCGCGCAGGGATATGAATTCTATAAGGGATCAAATTCGTCTATTTCCATTTTAATTATGGACAAATATCAAAAAGACCTCATCCCTATTAGAACCGCTTGAACATTAGGGGCTCAGGGGTCAGACCCTAAACCTCTATAGGGACCACCTTTAATTCCACCCATATATTGGGCACTTTTTATCTTTTGTGGAGGCTGTTTTTCCAGTAACCCTATAGAAACCACTCTGGCGTCCACAAAAATTTCGTGCTATTCCGAGAAATATTCAGAGTTTACTCTTGCGTAAAAAAAGAGTTGAAAAAAGAGATTTCAACCGAGACGGAGAAGGTGTTGTGTTACCTGTTCACCTACAGGCTTCAGTTTCCGAGAGAAACTTCTCTCTCTCTCTCTCTCGATGAGAGACGCAGAGAAAACGCCTCTGGCCGTACCCGTGGAGCACATTTCCAGCCGTCTCCCCTCTCTCCCTCTCTCATCTCCACCTTTCACTCTCGGTTTTGCCCTCTTGCTTCGGGAGCTTTTTTCTCCGTTTTGGCCTGGCCTCAACCTGACTCATTCCGTTTCTTTCTATCTTTTTTTCTCTCTGAAGATAAATTGCAAGTTTTATAACATTTTTCACTCGATTCGATTCAGTTCAATTCAACTATCAGTAATAAAAAGTCAAATTTTCCACATTGCACAATTCTTCTGTTGTCAGTTTCGTGGTTTTTCTTGATTCCTTTCAAGCTATTTTTTAAAAGTGAATCAATTAATTCTAAAAAGATTTTTTAGAGAATAGCAAAAACCAAACTTCTTCAATTTCGCTTCAAAAATAGAAATAATTTTTGAAAAAAACTTATTTTTATAAAAAAACTTCAAAAAGGCACTTTCGTGTAATTTCAAGTAATTCGATGAGCCGAAAATGTTTTAAACCTGGCTCGGTTTCATTCCAAACAGGCTATTTAAGAGCGGGCAAGGGAAAAAAATTCGATCGGTATTTCATAATTTTGCAACGATAAGGTCACGAAATCCGGTTAGAGAGCGCGAGAGCTCAAAAAGAGATCGATTCCGTGTAAAATCTTCACTGAAGTGGTCGCTCTCATTCTGAGGCTTCCACCTAGAGCACGGTCCCCGGGCTCCAGCTACACCATCCACTACATTCTGAGCTCGTCAAGGCGCAACTAGATGGACCACGCGCAGAAGAACGGTGCGAAGGACCGTAAGACCATGCTTTCAACTCTTTCGACTACACGTTTGGACTTCTAGTTCGCCAAAGGCGGTTGTTCGTTATAGCTTTGAAAGTTCTTGTTCACCGCCTAGTCGATTACATCAGACTAAAACAACAAAATAAATGATTGATTGATTGATGATTGAGCTCTTTGGAAAAAATTCGTATGTAAAGATGGAAAAATGCGCTTCAGACAGGCAATAGAGCTGGAAAATTTTTGATTTCGAACTCTATTTTTTTTTGATCGTAAACATCTAAAAGCTTCGAAAAATGATTAAAAAAATTTTTTTAAACAAAGCCACGACCTGAATTTTATTTCGAAACTTCCGAGAAAACCTTCAAGTTGAATCGACTACATCATATTCTGAAGATCAAATGATGTCTTTAGGAAAATGCGAAGAAGAGGAAAATATCGAAAAGTTTCGGGAAATGTTGGAAGCGCTCGATGGAGAACCAATTACTTTAGAAAGCGTACTAAAATAAATCTGAAGGCATCAACTTGAGATAAGAGTATTATCTTATACAGATTTCCACGTTTATTTCGATAATCTACTTAAAATGGCGTGATAATTGAGAAATCAGCTATAAAAAGATTTCCAATCAAATGAGCTCAAGTGAAAGATTATGGCTTACGGAAAGACGCAGAGAAGCAAAGAAAAAAAGTGAATCTGCAAGTTTCAGCGAGAAAAATTGGTCAAAAAATTCTTCTTTTTTCCTACATTCAAAGCCCTTCAAAAGGAACTTTTTAATTTTTTTCCAATATCCTATCAATCCCATTTTGAGAACAAATACATTGAAAATTTTCGATATTGAAGCAATTTTAAAAAGAAATTGTCCAGAATGTGGAAAAATGTTCAGTTTAGCTTCAAATTTTAGTGTTTTTCCTACAAATTCCAGCCTTCTAAGGTCTCAAGTTCCAAGAACCAAATGCGTTATAAATTATTCGGATTAGCGGGTTTTCTCAGGAAAGAGAGTGGAAAAATTCGGGTCGGAAATAGACCGAACACGTGACCTTCTGGTTCTTTTTTGGCGCAGTGCCAATGTGGATGACGTCATTTGTTCGAGAGTTCAGGTTGAAAAAATCGAGATCAAGATTCTCTTAATATTCAAACTTAGAACGAGATTGAAAAAAGTGTTTTTTTGTTTTAAGTTTTTCGCTATTATTCCTGAACTGTGTAGATTTAAAAATTACGAAGAGCTAGTAAAATATTTAAAATATGAGTACAAAGTTGAAAAGAAGAAATTAGCCAAGAAAAAGCGTAAAAAATTTGAAAAATCTTCATTCTTTCACTGAAAAAAACAAGAAACTGCGCACCATCGCAGAGCCGTCTATTGGAGTGTCGTTTGAAGCATTAAAAACTAATGAAGAGCTCTTTTTCAATCTCAAAACTCGAAAAATTCATTTTCATAAAAATAACTTTCAATATTTTTTTCTATTGAAAAAGTTTCTGCTAGAAAAACTTGGCAAACTTTTGTTTTTCTGAAGGTTTAAAACATTTTCGGCTCATCGAATTACTTGAAATTACACGAAAGTGCCTTTTTGAGATTTTTTATAAAAAATAAGTTTTCAAAATTATTTCTATAAAAAAACTCCAAAAAACACTAAATCATTCAAAACAATATGCTCGAAAAAACAAGGACTGAACAGCTTTCAATAAACTATTGGTGGCCTATGGCTTTTTTAATCCTCAGTTGAGCAAAAACTCAGTTTACAATATGAACTGCGATGCATTGCTGTTTCGGTGAAGATTTTCAGAGGCCACGCTTTCTTTTCGGCTGTCTCGCTATTTTAAATGACACCAATACAAATGCCGGTCAGGAGCAAAACAAAAACAATTTGAATATTAGAAAAGTGTGATCTCCTCAACAACTCTCGAACAATGACATCCAGTATTTACGCGGCCAGAAAGACGTCGCTCCTGGTATAACGTTGTTCTCAGCTAATTGCTGAAATAAGAATGACTAAACAGACATTTCCATTCTGGACAATTCTTTGAAAAACCTTTCAATATCGAAAATTTTCGACGTTCTCAAAATGGATTGATAAGATGACGAAAAAGTCAAAAACGCTGAGGCTGAATAATGTGGTCGATTCAACGAACTGCTCGAAGCCAGTCGGAATCGTTTAAAAATTTTTTAATCGACGTTTACGATCAACAGGGTGAAATCTTCCAGCGTCTGGCGTGCTAAAACGGGCCGTCATCACCGGTACAGTCTGATAATGGCGGCAGGCATGCGGCAAACGAACAACAAGACACGAGTCAAGCGATCGAAAAATTGGCATGATGCTGATCCTTCACCTGGATTCTTCTGCGCGCGTGCGTGTGCCCGAGATCTGGAAGCCTCAGAGGCGTGAAATTTGCGGAGTCGATGCTGTCTCGCTGCAAAAATGAGCCGATCAGTACTTGTTTGGAATGAACGAGCCAGGTGACTCATCGACCACTGAAGCCAATGCTGCTGGTTAAAAGCAAGTTTTCAAGTATTTCAGGCAAGGTGAAGGACTGGACTGTCTCAAAATCTTGAAACAATTGATTCACTTTAAGCAACGAAATCAAAAAACAACAGCATTGGGCGTGACTTTGCGATGGTTAACAAGCGCAGAAAAAAAGATAAGATCGGGTGAAACAAACTGGTGGTGAAGGAAGGAGACGGCAAATCTCTCATCGAAGGACTGAAAGCCAGGCACCTGCTGCCGTCAGTTAATCTGAAATAACGGACGCCAGAGAAGTAATTTCAAGCCTCACGCCAAAAAGTGCTTAACATAGATGAGATTAGGTGATCTGGAGTGAGACAGTAATGTTCAACGGACTAGGATGGTCTTTGTCCATAATTAAATCACACATAACGCTGTGGCCTGAGAATCTGAGACCTCCAGAAAAATATTGACAGTGAAAACGACCAACAAAGCTGGGTGGATGTATGTCACTCGAGCCAGTCCAGTGGGACAGGCAGCGTACTCACGTTAAAGTGTGATAATGAAATAAGCAGGCTGATACTTACTGATAAATATTGATAACCGGTGATGTAGTGATAATCGGCAACCAGATGGTGTGACATGCTGCGAAAAGATGAGTTTTCGGTCAAAAGCACTCATCATGCGCCTCAGGCTGAATGAAGTAATAAGCTTTGCAAACTGCAATAAGCTGCAGCAATAAAACTGCAATGAAGAACGACGTGATCTGATCCTGCCTTCGGCAACCACCGCGCTCTGCCACGCTGGTTGCGGATCGCGACAGAGATATTGCGACGATCTGAAAGACGAGATTCGCGAGCCCCTGATCGACCTCAGAAAGCTGCTGCGCTGCTGTGAAAAAATCGATGGGTCTTCCAAAGCAGCCCGGCAAGTGATTTCTCGAAAAATAGTCCCTAAAGCGCGAGACTCGTAAAACGAGTCATTTCGGGCAAGTGCCACCTCAGGCGAAGAACGAAGGGCGCCAGCTCTTCGAAAGGACTGAAAAATAGGTCCCTAAAATCCGCTGAAGACAATTCGAGCAGATGAAGTGGCAGAATCGCGGCACCGAAGGAGCCTGCGCAAAAGCGGTGACTTACCGTCTTTCGCTGCTGAGTCCGGTATTGTCAGCAGCCAGTGGTCACTCTGAGAACCCTCGAACTGCAAAGTAATCCTCAGGTCTTCAAAAGGCTTCTTGAAAAAGAGACTGAAAGTGATCCCTTAAGTTTTTATACTCAAGAGAATGACTCCCGACTGGTGGTAACTCAGGAAGTCGCAACCTGGAAAAAAGAACTTTCTCTCAATGACACCTCAGGAAAAAACCCTTCATTCAAGCTGTTCTGAACTGTTAATAAAATTAACTGGCTCATGTCACACGAAAACAGGTGGCGGAAAAAAGATTCCATTATCGGCAACTCACTGCCAATTGCTGTTCCTGAACTATTATTTTTCTTTCAAGGGGTACTGTATGCGCATTATTGTGCATGCACTTTTGCGTGTTTACACTTTCGTTGGCGTGGTCGGACATTTTCGGGGTTTTTCAATTTTTTTTCTTGATATTTTTATCGTGCAAGCTGAAGTGAAAAAAAACCCGAACGACCACAACCTGTCTAAACACGCATGAATGTGCACACAATGCGCAGGCTCGCTGATAAAAATTAATATCGTCCGTTTATAAAACAGATTTCGTCTTCGATCAACTCGAGGATTAATCTGGCGAAACCGGACATCTCGGTCTTCTTCAGAAGAGTCGCTCGGCAAAAAATCCTCCAATCGCAGCGCAATCGAAGTCTCGTCAGAATCAGACTGAGGCACAAATCGCTCATTCCAATGTTCTCAAGTAGCCAGAGATTTCGACCGTGTGGTACGGCAATGATGCTGGCTACTGGTCGGGCAAAGCCGTGCAAAGACCCGTTCCACCAGACGGGGAAGCAAAGTGGCGCTGGCGTGGCGTTCCCCGGCCAGCTCGGGCCGTGATCCGGAGAACCTGGTAAAAATAATTAGCCTGTTCGACCAAAATGCGCCAAATGATAGCGAACGCGAAAAACGCAAAAATCATGGTAAAACTCTCTATGACAGGCCTATGATGGAACTGAAGAGGCACATGATTTTTAAATTTTCTCGGCTCCTGTGGGAAAAAGCCAGAACAGGGCCAATCTCCCATAACAATCGGTCAGCAGCAAACAACGGCGGCAGGCGCCAATTCTCTGGCATTTTCGTTTCGTGGCGGCAGACGTCTTCGAAATCGCTGTTCATGCGGTTTCGCATCAAGTGAAAATAGTGACGGAAGGCTCAACGTCTTTCAAGGCGATCTCGCTTTCCATTCAAACAACTCTCAGATCTGCGCATGGTTTGGCACAGCGACGATGGTGCCAGACGGTCGAAGTCTAGCGATCTCAAACGCCATCGATGATTGAATGATTCAATGAATCTCATCGCCATGCGCAAATGTTGAATTTAACCAGACAATATTTGCTGAAGCTGAGTCTGGCGTCAAGCAGCGGAAAACCGTGGCTGCTCTCATTGCGACGTTCGCGAATCCAGGCATGAAATGGCAAACCGCACGACAATGCTGCGCTGAAAATTCGCAATTTTCCGACAATGCAATGAGATCAAATCGGTATTTCGATGAGCTGCTGGCGCTGGGAACTGGTCGACCGTTATTCACCTGGAGAACACTCGGCGCTGGCGGTTAAACCGCTGAACCTCTGGACTCCTCATCGAACAATGCTTTCGACGCTGAACTGGGATCACTTTAAGTTCATAGGGTTCCTCGACAGGCTATTCCAAGGATCACTCTAAAATGTTTCTTCAGCCTAGGACCTTTCGGCCCTTAAAGGGTCCCCTAGCCCCTCTGGGGACCGCTCTGCCATAAC